TATGCTCTGCTGCGCTGTGCTGTGCCGTGCTGTGCTGTGTTGCGCTATGCTATGTTATGCTATGCAATGCTGCGCTATGCTATGCTCTGCTGGGCTATGCTATGATATGCTGTGCTGCGCTATGCTATGTTACGCTATGCTACACTGTGCTCTGCTATGCTAAAGCTCAGCGAAGCTAAGATGAAGGTAAGCTAAGCTAAGATACACCTGATCTAAGATGAAGCTAAGCTAAGGTAAGATGAAATAAGCAAAGCTAAGATGAGATAAGCAACGCCAAGCTAAGGGGACGTAACTGGGGGAACCGCGGGGCGGATGCCGGGGGAACCGCCCGGGCCGGTTCCCACTGCCTGGCCCCTTAAGCCCAGAGGGTAAGAACCCTTCTGGGCAGAGCCTAGGTAGGGAAAGATAGAATCTGGGAACAGATGGGAAGTGGGAAGAGTTGTGTGTATTTATTCGTGTGCCCCTGGACCCTTCACCTGCACGCCTGCGCCGGGGCCCGGAGCACGCTGGCCCGGGGGCCACGGGCAGCGTGCAGCCCTGCCCAGGGCCTGCAGAATCTGAGCCCGGGATGTCTCCGGGCCCACCGCCCGGGGGGCCGACCCTCCTGGACCTCTGGAGGCGGTGGATGTTGACGTGCTGGTTCGATGCTCGTTCTGGGGACCTCTTCTGGGGCCTGCATAAGTGGATCTGTTCGACTCAAGTTCGCCTCCAGTTCGACTCAACTTCGGCTCAACTTCGACTCAGGTTCGACTCAGGTTCGACTCAACTTCGACTCAGGTTCGACGCGGGTCGACGGACGTTCGACGCAGCTTCGACGAACGAGTGGAGCGAGTGGCTCCAAGAAGGTCCCCAGAACGAGCGTCTCATGTTGGGGCCCCAGGAGTTTTTTTGTTGCCCACGTCCTAAGTGGGGTGCGTGCTTTCTCTGCGCACCTCGGCGAAGGATGACCTCCCTCCTCCCCCCTGTCTTCCTTCCACCTCAGCACCATCACCATCGCAATCGTTATCACACTCATCCTCATCAGTACCACCGTCATGATCACCAGCACACGGACTCATTTTTTATCATCAGCACACAGACACTCCGCTTATTCCACATCATGTTCACCATCATCATCAACCACTCACCATCACTCACCATCACCATCACTATCATCACGCAAGCATCAGTATTACATTACCCATCCCATCGTGATCATCTACCAAGAGGGAAGTTCGTCTGTAAGTTTTGTGAGTAAATCTCCTGCGGGAGCCCCCTCCCTCTAGGTCCCACGCTTCATGTTTTGAATCCGGGCGGGTCATCGGAACCCTGTAACCGTCGTCACATTTCGGCTCGTATGAATTGAATATGGAGGAGGAAGTCTCAGGCGGGAGCTTCGTCTGTGAGCGAATTGCGAGGAAGTCTCAGGCGGGAGCCCCCTGTTTACGGGTCCCGCACTTCATGTTGGTAATCCGAGCGGGTCATCGGGACCTTGTATTTGTCATCACCTTTCGTCTCCTTTGAATTGAATATGGAGGACGTCTCCGGCGTGAGCTTCGCCTGTGAGTCAATTGCAAGGAAGTCTCAGGCTGAAGCCCCCTCTCTATGGGGCCCGCACTTCATCTTGGTAATCCGAGCGGGTCATCGTCAAATTCTACCGCGCGTAGCATTTGAGCACCCCAAAAGGGCACATCACGATGCGTTCCTCACGCGTCTGTGAGTGAGTTGCAAGGAAGTTTAAGGCGGAAACCCTTTCCCTATGGAGCCTGCATTTCAATACACGGTAGAGTATATCATATACCATCAGCAGATAGCGTCAGAGAGAACAAGAAAGCAGCAAAGACCAGCAGAGAGCAGCAGAGACCAGCAGAGACCCGCAGAGAGCAGCCGAGACCAGCTGAGGCCGTGCATGAGGAGAACAGGCGGGATAGAGATGAGGAGGATGAGGAGAAGGAGGAGGAGAAGAGAAGGAGGAGGAGGAGCAGGAGGCGGAGAGGATCGGACGAAGAAGAAGGGGAAACATTGAAGAAGGAGGGCGAGCAGGAGAAGGAGGAGGAGAAGGAGACGGAGGATGAGGAAGACAAGGAGGATGAGGAGGCGCAACAGAGGGCGAGATGGGAGGCTTCGGCCAGGGCGAAGGGGAAGGAACGAAGGGCGATCTAAATAGATTCTCATGTGGAGTCCTTCCGTCGGAGTAGTTTTTTGATACATATATATATAGGCATCTACATATTTATATGTGTATGCGTAACATTGTCTTGACAACAACGCGCGTTATGCCGGCTGTCCCCCCCGTCCCCCCCTTTGACGCAACGCTCCCCCCCATCAGTGCGCCCCCGGCACTGCCGCAGTGCGTCCGGCACCACAGGCTTGGGGGGGGGGGGCGCTACGTTGTGCGTCCGGCACCACAGGCTTGGGGGGGGGGGGCGCTACGTTGTGCCCCCTCCCGCCCCCTCCCCCAGAACGCCCGTGCAAGGCCGCGAATATGAAAGTGCGTTCCAGGGGGCCCCGAATACTTCCATATATCGCAGGAAAACAAAAACACATAGTACACATAAACTTTCGACGCTCCGCGTGGATTTCTTGGATCTGAGCTGGAGCCCACTGGCTGCGCCTCCGGCGCCGCACCTGGTGCGCTCCGCGCGCCAGGGAGGGGGCCCTGCGCAAATCGAAGAAATCCGCGCGGAGCGTCGATAGTTTTTGTTCATGTTTTTTTTCTTCTGAAATACATCGCCCACAGGGCAGGCCGTCGGTTCCCGGGCCGCCGTCGCGGAGAAGCCCTCTCGCCCCGCAGCGAGGGCCCCCTCTGTGTGTGCCACCGCCAGGGCGCAGCAAAGGCCTGGCCAGGATTAGTCTGCGAGGCACCAGGACGCTTGCTTTTTGAATAACAGAAACCAGGGGCTGGTGGAATTTCAAAAAAAAAGGTATCAAAAACGTGGTGTTGAACTCATGAAAAAAACGCAAACGGTTTCTTGAATTCAAGAAGCCACTGGCCATGACCAGCGCCAGTCTTGGTCAGGCCTTGCCCAGGAGAAGGCCTGGGCCCAGCGTGCAGCTGGAACCTCGTCGTCCGTGTCTGTGTTCACCTCCGCCCCATCCCTTCCTTCAGCATATTGCGTCGGAGGTTGGGGGGTGAGATGGAAGTGTCGCGGAGAGCCCCCCACCGGGAAATCGGTTTCGGTTTTTGGTTCGTCCTTATCGTGCGTGCGGCTGGGGCGAAGCTGCGTGGGGGGGCGAGAGGCATGACTTCGTCGTGGCTAGGGCGGGGCAAGACAAAAGACAGCCCCTCCAGTGGGCCGGCGTGGCCCGGGGTGTCCCGCCGTTGTGTCCCGTCGGTGTCCCGTTGGTGTCCCGTCGGGGTCCGCGGCGATGTCCGCGGCGGTGGCCGGTGGTGTCCCGTCGGTGCTCTGGTTTTCGTCGGTGTCCCGTTGGTGTACTGTCGGTGTCCCGTGGGTTCCCTGTCGGTGTCCCGTTGGTGTCCCGCCGCGGGTATCCTGTCGGTGTTTCGTTGGTGTTCCATTGATGTCCTGTCGGTGTTACGTCGGTGGTCCGATTGGTGCACCTTTGGCGTCCTGGTGTTTTTTCGATGGTGCCCTCGATGGTGTGTTTTCGATGGTGTCTCCATGGCATGATTGTGGCCCGATCGTGTCCTAGTGAGAGCGATAGTGAGAGCGATAGTGAGGTCGGTGGCGAGATCAATTGAGTGAGACGTTGGTTCCGTCCCCCCCACAACCTCCTTCTCATCCAAAGGGTGGTCATATAGGTATGTGGGTACATGTCGAGCGCCAGCTCAGAAGAGCTGCCCAAGATAGGTACATGTCGAGCGCCAGCTCAGAAAAGCTGCCCAGGTGCGTTGTGTCCTCTTGATGAAGGGTGCTTTTAGGTAGTTAGGCGGCGCGACCCTGAACGATCAGGCTACGGAACGTGACACGTGAGTTGTTTCAAGAAGGGAGCATCGAGCATGAGACTTCCTACGGACGTCGAGGCAGGTCGTGCCTATCGGTAGCCCGATTCACTACCGCAGATTGCTTGCACCAACGTGACATGGTGCTCCGTCGCCAGGGGGAGAGCCACAACCCGTTCTCGCACACGCGCTCGGCGCACCTCGCCGCCCTCCCCGCTCCTCGCCCCTACGCTGTGCCTCCTCCGCCTTGGCAGATCCCCCCCCCTCGCCCTCCAGGAGAGGTCACGCTCGCGAACGGCCCCCGCACCTGCTACGGTAAGATGTCGGACCTGGCCAAGCCGCTCGTGCTGATGGAAAGGACGGGCCGGCACGAGCCATGCCCGGCAGCGCGCAGAAGGGACGCGGGCGAGGGGGCCGGCCTCTCCCACGAAGGCGGGGCCCTGCTCGGAAGGGGGCGGCCCCCGGAGAGCCCTCGGCCCGACATCCACTGGGAGGCGGGGGGGGGGGCTCGTCGATTCACCTCGGGCTTGCTCTTGCCCTCCTCCTTCTCCTCCTCCTCCTCCTCCTCCTCCTCCTCCTCCTCCTCCTCCCCCTGCTCCTGCTTGTCCTCCTTCTCCTCCTCCTCCTCCTCCTCCTCCTCCTCCTCCTCCTCCATTCCGTCTCCTTGTAGGAAGAATTTCTCCCTGTCGCACCCCGAGGCGAGTTTTTAGGGCGGGTTGGGCGCTTCGCCGGAGACGTCCTCACCATTTATGACCCTGAAGCTTAAATCTTGACAACTGTTTCACAGATGGAGGGCGGGTCGTTTTCAAAATGCGGCTCTCGCCCTAGCGCTGCGCACATTCGTTTTTCAAAATTGCAAGCGTTTCACGGATTGAGGGCGGGTTGTTTTCAAAATTTGGTATTCGCCTTAGCTCCGCGCACATTCGTTTTGAAGGTTACCAGAGTTTCACGTATTATGGGCGGGTGGTTTTCAAATTGTGGTTCTTGCCTTAGCGCCGCGTGCGCTCGTCTTGCAAATTCGCAATGGTTTCACGTATTGAGGGTGGTTCCTTTTCAAAATGTGATTCTCGCCTCAGCGCCGCGCACATTCGTTTATACAAGTCTCCAAGAGTTTCACGGATTCCCAAGATCAACGTACCAGAAATTGTGTTTTGGAAAGGTTCAGGATTGTGCGGGTGCAGCGGTTACGTTGATTCGCGGTGTTGAAGTCCCAGGAATGGCGTTCTGGCGTGATTCAGGTTCGTCAAGGCGCAACAATCAGATGTATCCGTGGCGTTGGAATCCCGAGAACAATGTTGGCATGCTTCAGAGTATTCAACCGGTTATCTTCCGACGAAGGGTCCCATGAAGAGTCCAGGGTCCCATGAAGAGGGAGCTTGGAGGGAGGGTTTATTCCAACATCGTTGGTGACTCTTGGGTTTTCACTGGTCCTCCTCCTCCTTCCTCCTCCTCCTCCTCCTCCTCCTCCTCTTCCTTCCTCCTCCTCCTCCTCCTCCTCCTCCTTCCTTCTCCTCCTCCTCCTCCTCCTCCCTTCTCCTCCTCCTCCTCCTCCTCCTCCTCCTCCTCCTCCCTTCTCCTCCTCCTCCTCCTCCTCCTCCTCTTCCTCCTTTTCCTTCTCTTCCTCTTCCTTTCTTCACCGCCAGAGCGGGTCTCAAAGGGTGTGCCTCGCGGTCGTTTGGGGGGGGGCCCAGAGGGAAGGGGAGGCAGGGGGGTGTACAGGACCCTTCCCACTTGCGCGGGGGAAATGGAGGGGGGGGGGGGGGGCAGAAACCCGCCACACCCCGTTCGTCGCCAGCAGAAGACGACGACGACGGGGGCACGTTCACCCGGGCTGGTGGACCGGCGGAACCCTAAATGCAACCATTTTGTCTAAACCAGCCAGGGTTGCATGTGACATCCCGCCCGAGGTCGTCCTCGTCGTTGTCGTCGTTGTCGTCGTCGTCAGTGTTTTTTGAATGTTCCGTTATTTTACCCCGACCTTTTCCCATCAACGAGTGAGGGCTACCCCAGATTTCGTAATAAAAGGGAGGGGGTCTGGACCCTCCAAGACAAGCCATTTCAGACCTCCCCCGTGGGAGAACCCTCCAAAACATCGTCCCCAGACCCCCCAGGCCCTCCAAGATAGCCTGGAAGAGACCCCCCCCCCCGAAATGAGACCCCCCTCCCTTTATTAGGAAATCTGGAGTACATGAAGTCTACCGCCTGCCCGCCCGACCGAATGTCCCGCCCGTCGTCATCGTCATCGTCGTCGTCGCCGCCGCCACCGTCGTCGTCTTTGTCGTCATCGTTGTCGTTGTCGTCTTCGTCGTCATCGTTGTCGTTGCCGCCTTCGTCGGTGGTGGATATATGTTTCCTCCAACCTTGTCGTGCCAACGAGTGAGGGTTCCATTTACTTTCCCGCCCGCGCGAATGAACTTTCCGCACGTGGTCGTTATCGCCGTCGTTGTCGTCGGTTGTTTCTATCTCTACTGGCCTTCGGCCTATCCTGCCACCGTACCTGGGTTGTGGGTCAGAGTCCTCACGGATGCTTCTTGGGCTCTCTTCGGACTTTGAGGAGAGCCGCCCCGCCTTCCTCGCCCTGTCCCCCTTGCTGTGCGCCGCCAGAGCATATGGCGGCGACACCGCCCGCAAGAGCCTCGTGCTGAAGGCCCACGGCGTGGTGCGGAAGAAAGTCGTGTTCAGCCAGAGACCGCATCTGAGCGTCGAGGGGGCTGGCGGATGAGCCACTGGCTCGTCAGCGCGGCATGGCGCAGGGGTGCCGGGCAGGGAGCTTGTACCGATACCGCCACCCTTCCGTTGTTTCCGCCCTTCCCAGACATGCTCGCGTCGTGAAGTAGTCAGGAGGAGAAGTTTTTGGCGAGAGTTCAGACAAGCTATCGGACCATGTGTTCCCCCAGCCGTTGTGGAAACCCTTCGGGGAAGACTTGGGGGGAGGATGGCGGGGAAGGTCAGGATGAGGAGGAGGAGGATGAGGAGGAGGAGGAGGAGGAGGAGGAGGAGGAGGAGGAGAAGGGCATCTTGGGAACCTCTGGGGGCACTCTTGGGTCCTCCTGGGAGCTTCCTGGGAGCTTCTTGGAGACATCTTGGAGGTCTCCTTGGGCTTCCTGGGGGCCTTTAGGGCTTCTCGGGGGCTTCTTTGGCAGTCTTCAGGCATCCTGCCCAGTCTGACGCCGTCGGAAGCTGTCTTAGGGGGCCTTTCTGGGCCGACTTTGGGCCCTCTTGGGGTACTCCAGGGCCGTCTTGGAGGCCACCTTGGCGTCTTGGAGACCTCTTGGGCCGTGTTGGGCCCCTTTCGGGGTCGCCTTGGGGGCCTCTTGGGCCGTTCTGGGGCCATCTTGGAGGCCTCTTTGGCGATCTTGGGGCTATCTTTGCGGGCTCTTGGGCCGTCTCGGTCCGTCGGAAGGCCGAAAGAAAGAAATGCGAAATTCCTTCAAATACCGCAGGCCAATCAATGATTTTGGCATCTTTGGGCCTTGCTGGAGGCCCTCTTGGAGGCCTCGTAGGCTGTCTTGGGGACCTCTTGGGGGCCTCGTGGGCCGCATCTTGGAACCATCTTGGGCCGTCTTGGTGGCGACCCCCCCCCCACTCGAACCGAGGGGTGGTGCGGACAGTGGTGGGGACGGTGGTGGTGGGGACAGTGGTGAGGGGACAGCGGGACAGTGGTGGGGACAGTGGGACAGTGGTGGGGACGGTAGTGGTGGGGACAATGGTGAGGACAATGGTGGGAACAGTGGGGACAGTGGGACAGTGGTGGGGACGGTGGTGGTGGGGACAGTGGTGTGGGGACAGTGGGAATGTGGTCGAAATAGTAGGACAGTGGAGGGTACAGTGGTAGTGGGGACAGTGGTGAAGGCGTTGGCGAGGATGGCGGTGGGACAATGGGACAGAGGTTCAGTGGGGACAGTGGTGGGGACAGTGGGGACAATGGTGGGAACAGTGGGACAGTGGTACAGCGGAGGAGTCAGTGGGACAGTGGGGACTGGGGATAGTCGTGGAGAAAGTTGGGAGAGTGGAACCGTGGTGGGAACAGTGGTGGGGGCAGTGGGGACAGTGCCACAGTGGTGGTGGCACTGGTGGGGACAGTAGGGGCTGTGGTGGAACCAGTGGGGACTGGTGGTGAGGACAGTGGTGCTGGGAACAACAGTGGGGGATGTGGTGAGGACGGTGGTAGGGACCGGGACTCGTTTGCTGGAGGTGAGAGGGGGGGTGGGGAGGGGTTCGAACCGGTAGTGACCCCCCCCGGTTTTCGAGTTCGAGGGGGGGGGGGGGGGAGGGGGGGTTTTGCCGGGGGAAGGGGGGGGGGATTTTCGGAAGGGGGGGGGGGACCCCCGGGTTCCGGAGGAAAAGGGCGGCAATTTCCCACAGTAAAGCGGCGGTGGATCATGCTCTCTCGCATATTGAAGGTCATCTTGGCCGTCTGGAGGCCATGTTGAACCTTTCGGGCCGTCTTGGAGGACGTCTTGGAGGGCTCTTGGGCCGTCTTGGAGGCCATCTTGAGCGTCTTGGGGACCTCTTGGGCCGTCTTGGGGGCCTCTTGGGGCCGTGCCTTGGGCCTCTTGGGCGATCTTTGGGGGCACTTGGGCCGTCGGAAGGCAGAAAAAAGCAAATGCCACGATCCTTCAAGAACCCATGGGAAATCAATGATTTTTGCCTTTTCGGGCCTTCCCGGAGGCCCTCTTGGAGGCCTTTTGGGCCGTCTTGGGCCATCTTAGGGCCATGCTCGGCCGTCTTGGTGGGCTCCTGGTCCGTCTGACGCCGTCGGAAGCCGATTGGGGGGCCTCTATGGGCCGACTTGGGGCCCTCTTGGAATGCTCTAGGGCCGTCTTGGAGGCCATCTTGGGCGTCTTAAAAGCTTCCTGTGCCGTCTTGGGTGCCTCTCGGGGCCGTCTTGGGGCCCTCTTGGGCCGTTCTGGGGCATCTTGGAGGCCTCTTGGGCGATCTTTCGGCGATCTTCGGGGGCTCTTGGGCCGTCTCGGGCCGTCGGAAGGCCGAAAAGAAGCAAATGTCAAAACTTCTGGCCTTCCTGGAGGCCCTCTTGGGGACCTCTTGGGCCGTCTTGGCCCAGCTTCGAGTCAATTTCGGCCATCTTGGTGGGTTCCTGGCACGTCTGACGCCGTCGGGAGCCGTCTTGGGGGCCTTTCTGTGCAGACTTGGGGCGCTTTGGGGCCGTCTTGGAGGCTATCTTGGGCGTCGTGGGGGCCATCTTGGGCGTGTCGGAGGCCTCATGGGCCGTCTTGGGGCCCTCATGGGGCCGTCTTGGAGGCCACTTGGGCCTTCATGGGGCCCTTTTGGGGGCCTCTTGGGCGATCTTGGGGGCCTCTTGGGCCGTCTTGGGCCGTCGGAAAGCCGAAAAGGCGCAATTGCCAAAATCCTTCAAACACTTAGTGAAAATCAATGATTTTGGCCCTGTCGGGCCTTCCTGGAGGACGTCTTGGGGGGCTCTTGGGCCGTCTTGGAGGGCTCTTGGGCCGTCTGGGGCCATGTTGAGGCTATCTTGGCCGTGTTGAGTGCATCGTGGCTCGTCTTGGAGGCATCTTGGAGCCATCTTAGCCGTCTTGGAAGCCATCTTGGCCGTCTTGGATGCATCTTGGAGACCATCTTGGGCCGTTTTGGAGCCGTCTGGAGCAGGAAAAAGCCTTTGCAACCAGGTTTTCGGCAATCTCCCGGGACTCCGGCGGGACGGGCCGAAGCCCCAGGGGGAGTTCCTTTCTGGAAAAAGAGCCAAAACCAAAACCCATATAGTTTGGCACGCCAGGCACCCCTGCGATGAATCGACAGGGGGCGGCGGATGTAACGGCCTTCGGCCTATCCCGCCACCGCGTTGTGGGTCAGAGTGTCCAGGGAGGCTTCTTGGGGTCTCTTGGGAGCGCTCTCGGGGGCCGCTTGGGGGCAGGGCCTCCGGGGAGCGGCGGCATCGGCAACTGTCTCTCGCTCTCTCCCAGCGAGGGGGTCCGCGGATGAGCCGTGGGCCCCGGCTCGGCGCGGGCCGGCGCCCAGGTGGGCTGCACTCGGACGGGCGCCAGGGGGACGCGCCCGAGTGCCTGCGCAGTCGCCTCTCCCTCCCCTCGCTGCCTCCCTCGCCTGCTCCCCGTGTTTCCCCCTTCCCCCCCCTCTCCCTCCATCCATCCGAGCCGCTCCCCCAGCCGATCCCCCCCCCCGCGCCCCCCCCGAGTGAATGCGCCATCGCCTCTCCCTCGCCTCGCTGCCTCCCTCGCCTGCTCCTCGTGTTGCCCCTTCCCCCCCCCCCCCGCTTTCTCGTGTGGTTGCAGAGAAGGGACCCCAGGGAAAGGGGCTTTTGAAACGGGCGATGCCGATTTCTCAAGTCCCCTCGGCTTCGCCCACAAGATGGCTGCGCGACGCTTTCACTCGCACTCGTCCAAGTCTCAACTGCAACGCCGCGGTCTCAGAAGTCCCTGTCGTTGGCGTTCCTTTAGGGAACGTATCATCTCCCTCCATCCTTCCGAGCCGCTTCCCCATCCGCTCCACTCTGAGCGGCGCTGCTGTCGTCCCCCTTCCGCTCCTCTCACTCTCCCGTCTCTCTTGTCTTCCACGCACCCCTCCCTCATCCCCCCTTGTCGCCCTCTCCATCCAGTTCCTGCGCCTGCTGCCGCTTATTCCTCGTCCTCCCGCTCTTGTTCTTGCTGCAACTGGTCTTGCTCCTGCTGCTGTTCCTGCTGAGGAGAGAGGAGTACATAGGAAGGCGAGGAAGAGGATGCGGAAGAAGATGAGGATCAGGATGAGGATGATGATGCTGATGACAGATGAGGAGGAGGAGGAGGAGGAGGAGGAGGAGGAGGAGGTGAAGGGACCAGTGTAAACCCAAGCGTCACCAACGATGTTGGAGTGAACCCTCCCTCCAATGTCCCTCTTCACAGGCCCCTACAACGGTTCATTCCCACTGAGGGAACTGCCTCGTTGGAAGACAACCAGTTGAAGATCCTGAAGCATGCCAAAACATTGTTCTCAGGAGTCCAACGCCACGAATCCACTTTACTACTGCATCTCGACGATCCTGAACCGAAATAGAACGCCATTCCTGGGACTTCAACACCGTGGATCAACGTAACTGTTGCGCCTTCATAATCCTGAATCCCTCCAAGACACAATTTCTGGCACGTTAATGATGGGAATTCGTGAAACTCTTGCATTTTTTATACGAATGCGCTCGGCGCTAAGGTGAGAGCCACATTTTGGAAAGAAACGGCCGTCACTCCGTGAAGCGCTTGCATTTGTTTAAACGAATGTGCGCGGCGCTAAGGCGAGAGCCACATTTCGAGAACCACCCACCCTCAATCCGCGAAAACCCTTGACATGTTGTTAAGAGAATGTGCGCGGCGCTGAAGCGAGAGGCACATTTCGAAATCGACCCGCCCCAGTCCGTAAAGCTCCTGCATCTGGTCTAAACGAATGTGCGCGGCGCTAAGGCAAGGCGAGAGCCACATTCTGAGCCCCCCCCCCTCCATCTGTCAAACTGTCGTCAGTTTTTAAGCTTCAGGGTCATACGTGGTGAGAAAGTCTCAGGCTACACGCCCGGCCCGCCCTGAAGACTGACCTCGGGGTGCGACAGGGAGAAGTTGTTCATAAGGAAACGGAATGGAGTAGGAGCAGGAGGAGGAGTTGGAAACGGAGGTGAAGGAACTTTCGCGATGGTAGTATCATCCATTCGGGTTGCCGCGTATGTCCGCCATGCACGCTGGAGGAAGCGGCCTCTTCAGGGTGCAGGCCGCATCGCAGTTGTTCGGGGGGCGTCTTGGAGGCCCAGCAGGAGCCTCGCGGCCATTTTGGGGTTAGTCTGGAGGCACCTTCGGGGCGCAGGGCAGCTGATTGAAGGCTTCTTGGGCTTTCTCCGAGGCCCAGCCGCCCACCGTGAGGAGAGGTGTGCGGGCCCAGCGCGTGCGTGCAGGAGCTAGGGCCGTCGTCCTCTCATCGCGGGATGAGGACAGCGAAACATCCCACGCAATGGCATAGTCCCTTCAAGCGGGGGTCGGCTACTCCTCTTGGCGCATCCATGCCATGTCCATCGCGTCGTCGGCGTCCCCCCGTTCTCACTATTCCTCCCTCCATTCACCTTGTCCTTTTCCTCACCCTGGCGCTGGTTCATCATTCCTGTTTCTCTCGCAATTGTTCGTTTCTCACCCATCCTCAGATGGGCGTCTTACTTAAACGCCTCCGCACCTTCTTCCTCCGTTCCTCCTTCTCCTCCTCTGTGTGTGCTTCACTCTCATTCCATTCGTATCTTCACACGCAGACCACTCACACCCACTATTCCTCACGGGATCCACCACTGACTCACTGCCCTTCACGGACACTCGGCCACACCACGGCCTCGCTCGGACCCGCTCAGACTCACAGTCGCTCATTACCAGTTCGAAACATATCCATATCCCTATTTTTGTGATTACCTCACCTCGATGCCGATCCTAAGGGTTCCCTCAGTTTCTGAGGGCATATCCCTAATATTGTCATCGCTTTTTGCTCGCCCACCTTAGGGATAGGGATAAGTTCGAGGCTGGTTAGCGTAGACCCACTGAGACCCTCTCAGAGAATTAGCCTCAGACGCAGGGTCACTTATACACATTCAGACTCTCTCACTCCGACACGTTGTCCCGCATTCGAGCTCATGCGGACTTTTCTTGGTGGTCCACTGCTCACCGCGATATGGCAGGCGAAGCGTTCGGGCACCCCAAGGTGGAGCCGCCCGAGGGTATGCCATTCGTCCGTTCGCGCCCAGGTCGTGTGGATGTCTAAAGCGGTTTGCATGTTTCGGCCCCCTTATTGTTTCAATAGGTTGGCCCTCTGCTCGCCACGGCATAGCAGGCGTGGCATTTGTGCAACCGAGTGGAGATCCGCCAGAGTCATGGCGCTCGCCCGTTCGTGTCAAATGTGGGGGTGCCTCAGGCGGTTTGCTTGTTTGTGCCCCCCACCCCCCCGACCACGCTGCAACGGGAGCACCATGTTGAGCAGTTGGAAGCACTTGCAACTTCAGAGGAGGAGGAATGCAGTTTTCATACGGTTTAACTGTGGAGGGCGTCATCGGGCGCTCGTGCCACGGCGAAGTTTGGTCTCAGCGCTGGAGTTGATGCTGTCGGGTTCCGACCTTTTTTTTGCTCTTTGGTAGCACCGCCACCTCAACGTTATATTCCAAACTTTCGGCCCGCCGCCTGAAAGATGGCACGACGAGGGGAGGAGGAGGTGGAGGAGGAAGAGGAGGAGGAGGAGTAGGAGGAACACGAGGACGAGGACGAGGACGATTACCAATTCGAGTTTCAATCCTAAGATGAATGTTAATAACGTAAAACAATAAAATCAGGGGGCTAACACGACTACCCAAGATACTCATAATAACATTGACGAGAGTGTGGGTAACCGAGTGCGGCGATAATAACCCCCCTTGGATAATACAGTTCGCGGTTCCCGCGGGGATAATAAAGCATTCCCCCGGGAAAATCAGTTATGATCATGCTGGTGAAGATGATGACGATGATGGAGGCGGAGGGGGAGGTTAAACCAGGCGCACGACACAAGCTTGACTCGAACGGTTTCGGGGCTCGTGGTTACTTGCCCGCAGAGGCGCACGACACAAGGCTGACTCGAACGATCTTGAGGCTCGTGGTTACTTGCCCGCAGATGCGCAGGACACAAGGCTGACTCGAACGATCTCGAGGCTCGTGGCTAAGCAGACGCCAAGATTTTGCCAGCGCAAGAGAGGCCGATCTGGCCAAGAAGCCCCCTTTGCGCTGGACTTCGAACCACTCTCTCATGCAAGCACGGCATCCTTTGGAGCCGTCCTGGCATGGGGGACACTTGGTGCAAAGCTGGGCGGCGGCGCTAGCCTCCTCGTAGCTGGCGTGCTTCGGCTCGGCCGCCGTGGGGTCCTCGCAAGGGTTCGAGTTGTGCTTGGCCTTGGCCTTGGCCTTGGCCTTGGCCATCGTCACGTCGTTGTCGCTCGCTTCCTTGAGTTTACTGATGAACCCGTTGCCTCGAGCGACCATGGCGTGGAGAGCTGCTGGCATTTGGCGGCCCTCGCCTCGGATCTCGCGCTGGGCGCGCTCGGCCAGCGACTCGTCCACAGGCCGCAGCTCCAACCGTCTACTTGGCACCGTCTGTTGCTCGGTGCTGGGCAATGCTCGCCAGTGCCAATGGCGCCGAGCTTGCGGAGGATCCTCGTGGCGGCCTTGGGGGGCCACGTGCGAACCCTACCCACGATTTCTGAGGAGGAGGAGGAGGGCGGGGCACATTTCGCTCGGCAGCTCCTTGGCAAAGTGAACCCCACCTTCCCCCCTCAGAAATCGTGGGTTGTAGGCGTGGGTTCGCATGTGGCCCTTTTGGGCCTGCTTGGCGTTCTCGGACGGCTGCTTGAGGGCGTCGCGGTAGTCCACCTCGACGCTGCCCCCGTCGATCCTCGAGACTTGGTGGGAATTGCCACAAGTGCCCCTTGCCCAGGGCGCCTCCAGGATCCGCTCCAAACTGGAGCGAAACGCTGGAAGCACCCTGTGGGGTCGGGCGGGGGGGGGGGGTGGCATTGCAGCAACCTGCGACCTTGAGGTGCGTGTAGCGCGCGGGCGCTTCGGCGCGCGCAGAGGCCAGCGCGTGCTGAGCCTGGTCGACCCTCTCGGCCCAGCGAATCTGCTCCTCGGACTTCTGGGCGGCGGGCGCGTCCTCGCCCTGGCCCTCTCGAGCCCAGGCGACGGCCGCCGCGGGCTCGACCGCCAGAACTTTGTCGGGGACGCCCACGCGCCCCTCGATCTCGCCCAGCAGCGCGCGCGCCGTGCCCAGCCCGAGGGCGTCGCCCTTGACGATCTGCTCGCAATTCATGATCGCGTACTCCTTGGCGAGCGCGGTGCGGCGAGTGTGTCCTGTCTGGCGCCAGCCGAGCTTCTGCGGCATGGGCAACTTGCAGTCCTGCTCGATCGTGACCTGCGGCGCTCGGGATTCGCGAGCGCTCGTTGGCTTCCGCCTGCTTCCTTTCGTTTCTGCCCCTGCCCGCCAGCTTCCGCCTGCTTCCGCTGCCCGAGGCAGAAGCCGGCGGAAGCTAACGAGTGCCCGTGACCTTCCCAGCCTCGCTGCAGTCGATCTGGAAGATCGCCGCGGTCTCCACCTCGAGGGCGCGCTGGCGG